CCCTAAAACCAGCTCAAACTTCTCAGCCCAGAATTCTTTATGTTTCCTGTCTCCGTCACAGTATCTAGGAGAGGGCAGAGCAAGTTTCAGCCATGAAAAAGGAAGTCTGTTCAAACACTTTTATCAGCTCTACAGGAATGTCTATGAGAGCACGCCAACGCTTTCAGGCCAGGTCTAAGCTCTGTGCACCAGAAGTGTCTTGTGGCCGTTATTCGGAAGGCAGCGGCTTCCGTGTGCTGGTGCCCGCCAGGGGCCGCCTCTCCAGGTGGAGGAGAAGCAGCTGTTTGTGGTCTGGTGTTCCAGTCTTCCTCTAGGAAAGCTGGCTCCAGAAGTACAGGCACTGGGATAGTTTCTGAGCTCTAACGTGGGGATGGGCTTCTACCGGAAGGTGAGCTGTGTACTGAGAGATGGGTGAGCAGCCCCTGCCCCGCTCCCAGGCACATGATTCTCTAACCTGGGCCGGCAACAACCTTGAGAGGGGTCGGGGGGAGTATGGTTCCATCCATCCATCCATGAGCCACAAAGTGTAGCTAAATACCTCACTACAGTATTTGGTGATCTTTATGTACAAAATGTCTATATACAGTGTGTCCTACAGAGATGGAAGGGGGAGGGCTGTTTGACGTTCATGAGTATGAAAGGATACATACTTCAGGCATACAGGAGGATCGCATGGGGGAATAATCCAGTGACTCTCCTAAGAGTCATCTGTGAACGTGGTGAACATGGCGGCTGGTGACGGAAGCTGCAGACTCCAGAGTAATTTCCCGTGGGACCCGGGTCTGGAAGCAGCTCTGAAAAGGGGAAGGGGAGTGGATCTGGGGAGAGAGCCTCCCCTTCAATCAGTTGTCCAGATGTAGCCAAATACCTGGGTAGATACCTGACCACACACACACACACACACACACACACACACACACACACACACACATATACACAGACAGGGAGGGGGGATTTGATGGTGCTGAAAAGGACGAAGGAGCTTCCTCTGCGCACACCAGGCAGATGGAGAGATGCACTCATGCCGCATCTCTGACTAGTTAGCATTTCTAGACTTGAGAAATTTATCTCCTAAAAGCTGACTAGTTAGCATTTCTAGACTTGAGAAATTTATCTCCTAAAAGCCATCCGTCTGCACGTGCTGTGACAAGACTTCGGCGACAGAAGGCAGCGGACTCCAGAGTAATTTCCTGTGGAAGCTGGGTCCGCAGCAGCTCTGGAAAGGGGAAGACTAAGGATCTGGGGGAAAGGCCTCTGTCACCAGATCCACTGAGTGATTTTCTTCTTACTATGGTCCTGCACAACTGTAAAGGTAAGGGAGCAGGCTTAGGGAAACAGGGCTCCCTCCAAACAGCTATCCAGGCATTAGCAAATATCTCAAAACACTAGCTAGCCAAATATATACATATAAAAACAATTTGTATATATTATGTGTCATCGTGATGATATTAATGGTCCACTTTGGGCAGGGGAGAGGTGCAGTCCTCATCGAATTAAACGATTTGATACATTCCCCCAAGACGTATGTTGTACCTTCTACTAGTTATCTTCAATGTGTAAATGCTAATGGAAACGTCACTTTATAAGCTACTTAAAAACCCCTAATGACAAAACAGCTAATTAGTAATAAATAATCTTATAAACTCATTTTATAAGCTAAAATATTTTTAAATACAATCGGTATGATTTTAAAAATAATGTTCTACTATCTTGCTTTAATAGTATTAATAACTCCTTGTAACAAGGAGTAGCCATGATCCACGTCTGATTTTTTTTTCCTTGTTTTTTTTTGCCGGGGTTTGTCAACAACTGTAACCCTCTCTCCACAACGTGGGACTGAAGACAACACTCTGAGGGTCAGAGTTAGGAATGAAGGCCAGAGAGTGAATGAGGAAAGGGAAAAGGCTTATTCACAGGAGCTTGTAAGGGGCTCTGCTCTTTATGAAGTAAGTGATGGGGGCGGGGGAGACACTTAGCACTCTCCCTTTGGCAACAAGGAGTAACCAAAAATTAAGATTAAAGTACACTGTACACATTTCCAGGTAGAAATGATGTCTGCTTCTCAGCCAGCAATCTTGAGGGAAGAAAGGAGCCAGTGTCTTACACATTGTTAATTCCCAAGGACTCTTTTCACCATGGCCAGGAAGTTAATGCTGACAGAGCTGGGAAGACCCATGCCATAGCACATCATTGTGGTGTTTACGCCATAGAGGCACAACATACGTCAGTAATCTCAGGAACATAACTGTGCCCTTTCCAAAACTCATCTACTGTAAGCACATGCCACTGATGATGCTTTGGCTGAGGGAGGGTGTTCTCGGGGTCACGGGTAGTAGTCTGGCTTCACACTTCCTGTGTAGCCAACACTGATCTTGCTCTCACCCCAAGTGCTAGGATCACGGGTGTGCGCCACCACACCTGACTTTGCTTACTTTTTAATAGTGCTGTATTGAACAATAATTCAAAGAATTCTTGAAAACTGAACAACCAGCAAACTTACACAAGCTGGCTCCATGCCATCCCCAAGTGGGTCTTAAGGAAGGAAAACCAGATTGAAAAACATCAAATGAAATAAAACAAAACTAATACATTTTCAGACTGACAGGAAGATGAAGTATTAAACTGAAGAATTTGTGGGGGGGTGACTAAAAAATGTCAGAATACCCTCCTTTCTGTGCCCTGAAAAGTGAAAAAAAAAAAAAAAAAAAAAAACACGAGTCAAGAGAATGAGATGTTTTCCGAGGACTTCTGCCTCAGCTGTGGGCACTGACGGCACACTCGGTGTCCAGATTCTCCCTCCAGGTGCCCAGTTCTTAAACGCTGCTTTAGACAGAGTCCAAGTGCATTCCAAGCTAAGTTATTGTCCCAATAACTCGTCTCACTGACAACAAGCAACTCAGGAACACCCCCAGCAGCTAAAAATATACAGGATTGGGGCGAAGATCTGCCAGGGACAGATGCTGCTTCTGTTAAGAGCACAAGAAATATCGTCACCTTTATAAGACCAAGAACGGCGGCTCTCAACCTTCCTGACGCTGCGGCCCTTTAATACGGCTCCTCATGTTGCAGTGACTCCAACCAAAACATTCTCATCGCTACTTCAAAACTGTAATGTTACTACTGTTATGAACCACAACATAAACATGTGTGTTTTCTGATGGTCTTAAGTGACCTCTGTGAAAAGATCATTCAACCCTCAAAGGGGTCGTGACCCACAGGTTGAGAACCACAGACTTAGAGTCCTAAAGAAGGGAAACAAGAGGGATGCCGTGTAACGAAAGGAGAGGAAAAGGAAGAGAGAGGCTGCAACAGTTATCCTCATTGTCAACCTGCTGGAATTTGGGATCGCCTAAGGTGTTACCAGAGAAGTTTAACCGAGGAGGGAAGACTCACCCTGAGTGTGGGTAGCTCCATCCCACAGGGAGAAAGCAGGTGGAGCCCCAGCATTCATCTCTCCGCTTCCTGTCTGTGAAGCTTCTGCTGCCATTTTTTCTCTACGCGGTGGATGGTACCCTAAAACTGTGAGCCAACACGAACCCTTTCTTCCCCATGTTCCTTTTGGCAGGAATGTAGTCACAGCAGTGAGAAGAGCGACTAACACAGGTGCCTTACAGTGGCTGGCACACGCTGTTATCTAGGACGGGGGAGAGACGCGATCACTATGGGCCAAAGACTTCCGTCATTTGTTACCTTAGCTGTGCACTGCACTGTCCAATTGTTACACTGAGAAATTAATGTGACCATCTATCTCAGTTGTGTTTTCACGGGCTTTGTCTCCGAGGGGACAAATACCTGAGCAACTGAAAACTCATTTTTACCTAATGTTTGCAAATGTCTGGATTGGACGTGTCGTGTGATAAAAAATGGCGCTTGATTTTAAGCCAAATGACAGAGAAGCAACTGTATGTGACAAAAATTTACACAATTAACTACAATGCCCACAATTTATCCTGTGATCTTGTTATTCTAAAGATGAAAGCACAATTGCCTTTAAAATTTGTCAAATTCATTCAATCTTATGTATCAGAAACTCTGATTCAGATGCCATATCTTGTACATTTATTTTTAGTCATGTGTGTGTATTGGAGTTATGTGCATGGCTACCTTCAGAAGCTGGTTCGCCTGAAGATGGAGTTATATGCATTGTTTACTGCTTGACCTGGGTGCTGGGAACTGAACTCTGGCCCTCTGGAAAAGGAGCAAGCACTCTTAACCATCTTTCTAGCCCCTAAGTTGCTGTTACTATTGTTTTTATTTGGGAATACACCATTTTGAATTTCTCCTTTAGTGAAAAATAAGAATTTCCCGTCAAACCTGGAAAGCCTTCCAACAGCTTGTAAATACTTTGGTAGAACATCATTTTAAATAAAGTTTGAGTTGGAGATGTAGCTCTGGAATAGAGTGCTTGCCTAGCATGCACGGGGCCTTGAGTACAAACCCCAGCACCACACACTTATGCAAATAGGTTTAATTCATGTTTAATAGTCGGTAAAAGTAAAAGTGTGGTTTTTAAATATACTCACAAGATAATAAATAGTCACTCTGCTAGTGCTACGGTCAAGTGCTTTCTGAGGAGGGTCCCACTGACCATCAGTCAGTTGGGCGTGTGCATGGAGAGACTTTTTTTTTTCTTCTTCTACTGGAATTAACGGAGAATTTGTGAAAGATTGGCAATGCTAACTTCTTGTGTGGTCAGTAGCACACTTCTCGTGTATTGAGCCTAACTCAAAGCAATGCATGTAAACAGAGATAGGCCTCGACCAGGTAATCAGCTACAAACACACAGCACATGCTAAGTCCCTTTCCATCATTAAAAAACAGCGTTCATGGAAGGAAGCAAGACAACTTGCTACCAAAGTATGGAAGTGGCTAAGATCATCTCCAGTGTGTCTACGAGCTGTATCAGCCTACTTGTGCAGGCTGCCAGGTGTGTCCAGGAGCAAGTCAAATTGCTACACACATTTCAGAACCTTAGATAAATAAGCAGCGCTGAAAGAGAGTACTGTTTAAAATTATAATGTATATGGTTAACGGAAATAAGTGGCCTTAGATAAAATGGTCCCGTGGAGAGGAGGGTGGATTTGTGCCTGTTTTCCAGATGGCTGCACGGCGAGGCTTCAGCTCTTCTACAGAGGTTTACCTCCTGTCTCCTTCAACTCTCTTCTTGCGAACTGGGTAGGAGAGAGAGAAAACATTTTCAAAGACAAATAGAAGAAAGGGATATTCTTTAAGAATCATTCTAGAACAGTGGTTCTAAACCTTTCTAATGCTCTGACCCTTTGACACAGTTCCTTCTGTTGTGGTGACCCCCAACCACAAAATCATTGCTACTTCTCAACTGTAATTTTGCTACTGTTGTAAACGGTGATGTAAATATCTGATATGCAGGATATCTGATATATGGTTCCATGGGGGTCACCATGGAGTGATGGGTCCAGGAGAGACCACAGAGTAGGGCACTGCTAAATATTTTCATGGGAATTTATCCACAGGGCATCTTCTTGGCGTGTGTGCAGTTCGGTCCCCAGGTGAATACAGCCATGCCCATCATCTCTGATTATGGCTGGGAAACCAGGCATCTATAAACAGAAGCTCAGGTCTCCAAATCTCATTTTGATCAAAAAACTCCTAAGTCTTAGAGTGAAGCATTACAACTGCTGTCCTCCTACTCTGGAGGCTTAGGCAAGAGAAGTACGAATTGGAGGCCAATCTGGGCTAAATAGTTGAGTTCCAGGCCAGCTTGAAGTATACAGCATGATCTTATCTCAAAACAAACAAACAAACAAACAAATCCCTAAATACTGGTATTAAAAAACAGGAGTGGCTTTGGGCAACAGGCAAAAAATCAGAGACTGGGGTTCCTTCAAACCAGTACTTAGGATCAAAGATGCTATCAAGATTGCCTGACTTGGGGGTTAAAGAGATAGCATGGTGGTTAATAGCACTTGTTCTTGCAGAGAACTGGGCTCAATTTCCAGCACGCACACAGCTGCTCAAACCAGCCATAGCTCTAGTTCCGGGAGAAGTGACATTCCTTCTGGCCTTCAAGGGGACCAGGCACACCCATGGTACACAAATATACGTGCAAAGTAAACATCCATACACATAAAATAAATACATCTTAAAAAAAAAAAAGATTGCCTGATTCCATCCTTCTCTCCCCTCCTTGGACATGGTCTTAGCACAAAGCCCAGACTGGTCTTCAACCAGGATTTTCCTGGTTGGCCTCTTGGATGCTGGCATTACAAGCATGCGCCACACCTCACTGCATTCTTGGCTTCTACAACCCCTTTCTTCTCCCTTCACTTCCTGGGCTGCAGGCTCTTTAGGTTGAACAGCAAGGAGCTTCTGGAAGCTCCCTGGATTTGGTCAACTGGTACCCTGTCCACGGTCCTCATTACCTGGCTACTTTCAGTAGCTCAAGATGTAGGAAGTGACAAAGGTGCTGCCCACAGTGGCTGGTCCTGGGCATGGCACCTAGAGTCAGTACTCCCAGGGCCTTGCTTTGCCTGTTTTTCTTTTGATTTCTGGGTTGCTCAGATAGGAACCTGACATGCTTTATTTCCTAGGCATCTGGTTGACTCCATCCTTTCTCAAAGCTTCCTTCTGGGTCATGCAATTCCTCACTCTCTGCACTTGGTGGGTAAGCACAGCTCCACGTCCTGCCAGTGCCACTCTTTCTCCCGTGTTCCAGGTCTGGTACCCCACTCCCAAACCTCCAACAAGGGCCTCAAGCCTGCTGCTGGCTGACTGCCAAGTGGATCTGTCTGGTCTTAGACGTCCCTTAGCTACTCCAGGTAGCTAAGATATCTCCAGACCATGCTTTCCTGATCTGTCCCATCCTTCTACACTGTGACTGACCTCCTGTGCACTGTGACATTCTCCATCTCATCCTAATAGAAGAAGCAGTGTGGATCCTCAGCAAGGTGTAACGGCATGGGAAGGCAAAAAGAGGCATTGCCGAAGAGTTCCCTGAGAGTTTAACCTGTGTAATCTAGCTCTGTTAGAGTACCTCACACATCGAGTACAGAAGTCTTCACATCCCCACATTTAAGCGTGGGCATTGAAGAAAGCACCACCAGAACTCAAACGTCAGGAAGCTGGGATTGCTATGCCTAGTGTCCAGACAGAGAGAGTACCATCAGCATGGAAGGGGAGGAGAGGCAGAAACAAGGAAATCAAGAGTTAAGCTAGAACTATGTCAAAGCTTAAACACCTCAGAGACGAGAGGCTTGCCATGACCCCCGAAAAAAGTGCCCACCGAGCCCCGTGCCATGGTGTTAAGATGCTGCTTCTGGAGTGGGGAGATGAATGTTGCCAGCGTTCTTCCTACTGTCACCAGCACAGATCACATCTGTCTTACCCAGGTCGTTATTTTTTGTGATGGCAGCTGCTACTCTTGTCCGTGGCCCTTGCTTGGTAAACTGGTATCCAAACTTGAGGATCCTTGAGTTCTCTTCCAGCATCTGAGCGATCTCCATCTCCACTGCTGTTCCCAGCTGCTGCCTCTGTTTGTGGGCACGCACACACGAACATGGGGTAAACAGGAAGGGAAAGGAAGCAGTTACTTACAGGGGAAAACAACATGGCTACCTCCACAAAAAGGTTCAAACCAAGAGAGAGAAAGCCACCTGAGATGGTCCCTCTCGCACAGTCTCTGAGTCTAGAAACAAAATGTAGACAGCCCAATCTGCTGGTACTCAAAAGTGAAAAACAAAACTAACCAACCAAATAAACAAACAAACAATAACAGCAACAAAACCAAGAAAACGGGCTGGGGAGACGGCTCAGGGGTTTCAAGTGCTTCTGGGTGACCTGAATTTGGATCCCCAACACCGTGCTATAAAGTCAGGCATGACGACATGAACCTATGGCTCCATAGCTGAGAGTGCAGAGACAGGTAAATCCCCAGAGGTCGCTGGTCAACCAGTCTAGCCAATCGGTGAGCTCCAGGTCCTGTGCCAGGATCCTGTTACAAAAGCTAAAGCTTAAGTGGAATGCAACAGGAAGACACCTGATATCGACCTCTGGCCTCCACACGCACATGCATGCATTCACACACTCACATGGCACATGAACATACACATAAGTAAGAGAAAACCAAACCAAAATCAAACCCGAACAAAAATAACAACAGCAGCAACAAAACCCAAGAGCAAACAGGAAATCTTTCCCAAAGAAAAGATGAGCTGGGTTTATGCCTATAACTGCAGTGCTTGGGAGACTGAGGCATAAAGATCTTTAGTTCAGAGCTAGCCTGTGCTAACTAATGGGACTGTCTCAAAACAAATACATGAAGCGAAACCCACCAAAATAAAAAGAAGGTAATTCCTGAGTGAGTGCAAGCAAAACTAATATTTGTGCTTCAGAGTTATTCAGTGCTAGCGGGATTAAAGCAGGGATGTTTCTTAAGCAGAAGAAAGGTCTGACTGAAAAGCTACTGAGTTTTCTGTCCTGGAATCCATATCCAACAGTCAGTAAAGATCTAGGGTGCAGAGATGGTTCAGTGGTGAAGAGCACCTGCTGTTCCTTCAGAAGACCTGTATTTGGTTCCCATCACCCATATTGGGCAGCTCTCAACCTCCTATAGCCCCAGAATCAGATGTCTCTGACCTCTGACCTCTGGTGTGCGCACACACAAGTGTATGCACACAGACATGAATGCATGCATAGGTGCGTGTACACACGTTGGGGGGCGAGGGGGGGACGGTTACGATTCTTAGGAAAGCCAGAAGACCCCATCAAGTCCACACAGACCTTTGAGCTTTAGCCCATTCCCTGTGGGGTCTCCCCCATCCCACTGTCTAAGATATAAGCTGGCTTTGCCCCACCTCCCCTTTTGCACCTGGTTGTCAATCTTGATCTCTGTCAAGGTGTCATTCTCCCGAAGCGCTTCCACCAGGGCCAGGATTCCAGTTCCAGTGATAAAATTAGACTCTACATTTAGACTTTTCAAGGTCTTGTTGACTTTCAGCATATCTGCAAAGGCCTTAGTGTACAAAAACAGTCATGAGGGCTTCCAAAGGTTGGTTTCATGAACATCTCTCTCCCAAATTAAAACGAAAGAAATGGTTTTATAGTTTTAAAGAAAACCTTTAATAGGTAATACTTTCATCTCCAAGTACAATTTAAATTCAGAATTGCAATTAAAAATTAAAACAGTGCTGTGCGGTGATGGCGCACGCCTTTAGTCCCAGCACTCGGGAGGCAGAGGCAGGGGGATCTCTGGTCAACAGAGAGAGTTCCAGGACAGCCGGGGCTACACAGAGAAACCGTGAATTGAAAACAACAACAACAACAACAACAACAACAACAAATTTAAAATAGCTTAGTAGAAGCAGTTGAGACACAGGCTGCTCTTCCAGAGGACCTGGATTTGATTCCCAGCACCCACATGGTGTGTGTTTTCTCTTCTTAGTTTAATTTAATTTTATTTTTTTACGTATGGGCATTTTGCCTGAATGTATGTCTGTGCACAGTGTGTGTTCTTGAGCCAGCAGAGATAAGAAGTGGGTGTTGGATCACCTGGAACTGGAGTTACACACAGTTGTGAGCACCATGCGGATTTTGGGAACAAAAACTCAGGAAGAGCAGCCAGTTCTCTTAAACACTGGTCTGTCTCTACAGCCTCTGGCGTTTCTGTGTGTATTCGTGTGTGTGTGTGTGTGTGTGTATGTGTATGTGTCTGTGTGTGTGTTAAGACAGACTCAGGTAGCCCACGCTGGCCTTGAACTTGCTGTGTAACTGAGGCTGCCATAAACTGAACTTCCTGTTTCTAGCTCTTAAGAGTTGAGACAACATATTTGCTAAAAGAACACATTTTAATAACAGTTTAAAATGTCTCAGTACAAACAAATTTTAAAAATATACATATAATTGGGGCTGGAGGGGTGGCTCAGCGGTTCAGAGTGCTTTCTGCTCAGTCATGAAGACAAGTGTCCAGATCCCAGCATGGAGAGGCTCACAAACACCTGTGCGTCCAGCTCCAAGCCATCCACTGCCCTCTTATGGCCTCACTCCTGTGCACATACTCACCTAGACAGATACATGCAGATAAACCCACGCTATTTACAGAAATTTAAATATAAATATACATAAGATATTTTAAGAATATTTTGGCCTCACACAGATGAACACGAACTGAGTCAGGACCTGTAAGGCTATGGCCTGACCTTCTGCTCCTCAAGTGAATAAACACTTGAGATTGGCAGCCACTCTAATTAAAGTCACAAAGGCAATAAGAAGAAGAATGCAAAACAAATTACTAATAGTGATTGCTTCTAGGGAGTAGGCCAGGGAAGCCCTAAAACTGTCTTAATTACTTTAATGGCAGTTAAGACAGGAAGAAGGAAGAGAAGGGAATGCCACAGGAGACCTGGCAGGTTTCTCATCCTCTGCATGGCTAACGTCTGGACCAGGAGACTTCTTTGCTGTGCGGGTCCTGTGTACTGTAGGCTGGTTAGCAGCCTCTTGGGATTCTGAGACCTTACAAATGTCCTCGTCCCAACCCCAAACATCTCCAGCCCCTGCCAGTGTGCCCCGGCAGCAAGAGAGCTCTTGAGCTGGGAATCACGGGGACAGAATTAAAAACCCTGAGTATTGACACTTGTTAGAACTGAAAGCCCAGGGCTATGGGCTGATGGCACACCATACTATGCAATTCAAGGTGCATTTATTCAATATATATATATATATTTTTTTGTGAGACAGGGTTTCCCTGTGTAGTCCTGCCTTCGCTTCCCAAATGATGGGATTAGAGGCACGAGCCACCATGCCCAGTTTAATACTTGATCTTAAAATTAAATGTACACGTTTTAGTCGGAGCATGAGGCGGGAGTACGGCAAGCCTTTCCTTACGGGTCACACTAAGCTTTGGCATTGACTTTCAGTTCCAGAATAATGAAATGTCAGAGCAATTAGTTCTTTACAAAAACTTGCAGGGCCTCCTGGCAGGCAGCCAAAGTCATGTTGCTTTATCTTAAACTTCAGAAAACACTTTTTTTTCTCAAACTGAACAAAATGGAGCACACACAGCCAAACATAACTCGGAGGTATTACACCCAAGTTCACTTCAGTTCAGCAAATATCTGAGCATCTATCCCACGTGCTGGCATAATAATGTCAGAATAACATAGACATGGTTTCTTCAATGTTATATAAATAATTAGAGTAGAAATACATGCCTCAAGAAAAGATTTGCTTTCTGCGCTCTCTGGGATTAAAAAGATAGAAAGATGGTTAGAAGTTTCTGGGGCTAGAAAGATGGTTCAGCAGTTCAGAGCACATGCTGTTCTTGGAGAGGACCCAAGTTCGGTTCCCGGCACCCACGTCAGGGAGCTCACGACCACCTGTAACTCCAGCTCCAGGAGTCCAAACACCCTCTTCAGGACTTCAAGAACCCTGAACTCATATACACACATGCCAACACACATACCAACACACACACACACAAGCCTGAAAGTACGTCTGTGCACCATGTCCATGGGGTACCCAGGGAAGCCAGAGAACATCAGATCCCCTGGAGCTGGAGTTACAAGGGCTCGTGAGCTGTCTGAAGTGGGTGCTTTGCATCAACTCGGGTCCTCTGGGAAAGCCACAAGCACTCTCAACCGCTGAGCCATGTCTCCAGCCTAAGACAACTTGGTTTTTCTAGTCTGACTTGAGGGCGGCGTGGCTGAGGTTGTAGACTCACAGGTCGATTGATTCCCAGAGTCCCTGTCAATCACGCCCTTCAGCCAATGGACCACAGCAGAGCTGTGTGTTAATGCAGCTAGCGGAACCGGGAAGGCCCGGTGGTGCCTCTCGGCTCTGTCATTACTTGCTACGCGCGGGATAAGCTCGCCCCTCTTTTGTTACAGTGGGAACTAACAGCAGCGCATAGCTAGAGCACTAGTGATGCCTGGGTGAGGCATGCATGCAGAGCTCAGTGATCAGAGCTGCATTCCTGGATTGCTCACCAAAGTGGCCCGTGATAGGAAAAGCAGACAGGAGCAATGGCGGCAGCGACGGTATTCACTTGAGCTGAGTAGCTTTCTTGTTTGGCTGAGCTACCCAAAATGCATAAAAGGACTAGGGTTTTGGTTATTACTTTTCTTATTATATTCTAATGAACTGAATGTCAAATGAAATGGTATTTTTGGTTGTTTAAAGTATGTTTGGCACATGAATGCACATAAAGATTAAGATAAAACATGCTCTGATGTCTATTATAAACATGCCAAGTTCAAGTAGGCTTTTGGGGTCATAACATCCAATGACTGTTTTGCAGAAAGTTATTACACAAGTGAACGTTTCAGAATGGTTTTTCTCAACACAGAACAAACTCTAAATATTTATTTAGTTAAATGCCAAGACACTTGTCTTTTTTCTCTTTTGGAAAGTGCAGCGCTGACAAGAATCCAGTTAAGTCAATGTGCTCACCGCATAGGCTCGAAGCCTGTGTCTTGGGACTATAAGTTTGTTAGAGTAAATTGGCCAGATCTAAATTTTTTTAAACTCTTTTTTAAAAAAAATATTTAATTTTTATTTTTATGTGCATTAGTGTGAAGGTGTCAGATCCCTTGGAACTGTCGTTGTAGACAGTTGTGAACTGCCATGTGGGTGCTGGAAATTGAACCCAGGTCCTTTGAGAGAGCACACAATGCTCTTAGCCACCGAGTCATCTCTCCAGCCCCTCAGATCTAAGATTTTTAACTGATTAAATAAGTTAGCCGGGAATGGTGAGTCCATGTCTGAAGTGTTAGCACTACAGCAGGGGCTGCCTCTGTCATGAAATAGGTTGCCTGCTCTTTGATCACGTGCCCCTGGTGATGCAGCCTTGCCAGGCCACAGAGGAAGAGGATCTAGGCAGTCCTGATGAGGCTTGACAAGCTATGGGCAGATGGCAGAGGAGGAGAACTCCCCCTTTCAGTGGACTGGGGGAAGGTGATGGGGGGGGGGGAGAAGGAGGGAGGGTGAGACTGGGAAGAGTTGAGGGAGGGGCTTAATTGGGATATATAGTGAATAAATTGTAAAATAATAATAATAACAATAAAGGAAATGTCAGTAGTAGGCAAGCTGAGGCAGGAGGATTACTGGGAACTCAAGGCCAGGCCAAGATAGTTTAAAACCCAGGCAACACTTGCAAGACCATATCTCAAAAAAACTAAAAGCCACGTTAGCTAATTTTAAACAATATGAAGAACCTAAAAATAAAGAGTCTCTGGCGAATTAAATGACTTCATGTCGTGTTTCAAGTCTCACTTACAAGGGCCACAGGGTCATTGCTCCGGGTTGCAGCCAGGCTGAACTTCTTCACATGGGTGTTGGTCTCCAGGGCCTTCGCAAATTCCTTCAGGGTTGGAATTGGAATGTTCTAAAGCACAGAAGACAGGGCCAGTTACAAGCCATTCTCGGCGCACTCACCCTCAACTTGAGAACACTGTTTTCCGTTTTGATTGGATCCAGAGTCTCACGTGTGCTAAGCATGCGCTCTGTTACCAAGCTCCACTGTCATCAAGTTCCCCTTTCAAGTATCACCTATATTTAGATGGCTGATTACATGGCCTCTTTCAATGTTTGTTTTTTAACCATACTAGTCTGAGTGAAAAACGCCTCCTAGTGGCTATTAAGGGAATGCAACGCAAAATATTTTATTTTCCTCATTGTCTATATTCTAGGACAGGTTAATGGTCTCTCACATACATACCCTGAGATATGCTTTTCTCCGTGGCCTAAAAAATTCTTCCCGTCTTTTCCTTTAATTATTAACTGCCCACCTCCGGAGACCTGACTGAAATACTTCCTTTATGAGTTCTCCTAGGCAGCTTCAAAAGTTTCCTACAATTCCGTGACAGTTTAGGGCTAACCACTTATGCCGCCAACCTTTGGTTAATGTTTCTCTCCCACTCTAGCGTTTCTAAGTAAAAAGTTATACTGGATGGCTCTTAACTGGGTCTCCCGGGACCCAGGCTGGCTTCAGTCTGGCTTCACTTTCTCACTATGTGGCCAAAGCGCCCTTGGACTCATGGTGATCCCCCTGCTTCCACCTCTACAAGGTGGAGTCCTGCAAAGTGAGGTCTCCTGCCCACAGACACACGGAAGTGCCATGTTGGGGCGGCTCCTTTGGGTACAGACACACGGAAGTGCCATGTTGGAGCGGCTCCTTTGGGTACGAGGTGTAAGCTACCACATTCATGCTCCTTTCTTCTTAGTTTTTAGATTTATTAATTGTATTTTATGAGTGTTTTTCATGCCTGTACTCCTTCTTATAAATTGCACAGCACAGTACTGGCCACTGTGGAAGTAAGCGGTAGGCAGCAAGGGGCAGCAGTGGACATTCATGTTGGGTGGCTCACAAATGCCTGTAATTCCTGCTCCAGGGGATCCAATGGCCTCTCCTGGCCTCTGCAGGCAGCTTCACTCATGGGTGCATATCCACACAAGACAACTATACACATAGTTAAAAACATGAAGAATCAGGAAGGGGAGGAAGGGACAGACAGGGAGAGTATGGGGAGAGACAACTGGATTTGGGGGCCTTTGGGAGTCGATGTGGAGCCCCACTACAGTGGAAACTTCCTGGAACCTGTAAGGGTGACCCTCACAAGGACCCCTAGTAATGGAGGACTTGGAGCCTGAACCAGCCATCTTCTTGAATGAGGCAAGGCTTCTGGTGGTGGCACTGGGAGACCAACCCAGACACAAAACCTTCAACCTAGAGCCTGTCCTGCCTGCAAAGATAGGCTGGAGCAATGGTGGCTCAGAGCCTGTGGGACTGGCCAACCAATGGCTGGTCTAGCTTGAGGCCCACACCAGGAGAGGGGCCCCAGACACTGCCTTGAGGGCCAGGGACTGGAAGCTGAATGGCCCAAACACAACTGGAAAGAAAGAAAGAAAGAAAGAAAGAAAGAAAGAAAGAAAGAAAGAAAGAAAGAAAGAAAGAAAGAAAGAAAGAGAAAGAGAGAGAAAGAGAGAGAGAGAGAAAGAGAGAGAGGGAGGGAGGGAGGGAGGAAGGAAGAAAGGAAGAAAAAAAGAAAGGAAGGAAGGAAGAAAGAAAGAGAGAAAGAAAGAAAGAGAGAAAGAAAGAAAGAAAGAGAGAGAGAGGGAGAGAGGGAGGGAGGGAGGGAGGAAGGAAGGAAGGAAGAAAGGAAGAAAGGAAGGAAGAAAGGAAGAAAGAAAGGAAGGAAGGAAGGAAGAAAGAAAGAAAGAAAGAAAAAAGAAAAGAAAAGAAAAGAAAAGCAACAAAACAGCTGACATTATTCAGCAGCTGGCCTGGGTACTATGATTCAAAAAGTTACTCTTCTCCCAGACCCATTTCTTCTGACTAGATCATTCTGTCTGAGATCAGTGACTTCAAAGGACTGTAAGCCGGTGTAAAAGTGAGGAGTCAATGACCTCCAGCCAGCTCTGTGATGCCAGGATAAGCCAAGAGGTAATGGCAATGACTGACATACCTTGATATTGTTGAGATTGACCTCCTGAAGGCTGGGGTCATTGGCCTTCATCTGCTGCAGACTTGCTTCCACATTTGTGGGGTTCGGTGGCTCCTCAAACACTGGCTTGGCCTTTTCACCTTTGACGACATCTAAAACACAAGTTTTAATTTGTAAAAGAAAGTCAGGGTGTTGTGGATGTAAATATGTCTTTGTTTTGATCCCAGATGTAGGATATGGGACTGATTCACACTGTCCGCAGCCGGGCCCTTTGCCAGCTGCAGATGGTTGGATGAGAAGTTGGAGATATCCTAAAATGAAGATTGGACTTGCCCCAAAGAACCCGATGACCCTAGCTAGCAGGAAGTACACAAGAAGAAAACCTATGCCCCCTCTCCCCACTAACCTTTCTCTCCTGTCTGGTATTGGAGTGTTGGAAAGGATTAGGAGAGAGAAGAAAGCAGTACTAAGAAACATAAATAAGAGTTTTAAAAAACTACGCTAACAGCAAGAAGTCCTCTATCAGACTAGAGAGGACCTCCCCGGGAAGCCCCATTCTTCCCCGTGGAGTCTAACTCTCCAACAGCAACGTTAGTAAGTGTATTCTCACTGAGCAGGCAGGGCAGTGGCTATCTGCCTTCCTGAGTCAGTTTGGAAGTCAGATGCTACCACAAGGCATCTCGGTGGCTGACCCTGCATCAAGTTCAAGTGCAAAAGGCTCTGGAGAAAACTCCAACCCCAAGACATCCCCTGGAAGTCATTGCTGTACCATAGAGACTTCTCCCACACTATCTTCCCCGGACCATCTGCTCTGAGATGCAAAAATGGGCACCATAATGAGACTCTTCATTTCCCAAATCCTTTAAAAATTTTTTGTGTGATCTCAAAACTTGAACCCAGGACCTCCTTAAAGCTTATATTTTATGTACTGCTGGGAAGTGTACTGAGAACTTCTATCCCCAGGTCCCAAACATTAATAATCCTCTGGCTTCTCCATCACTGCCCTCCTCCAATTTTCATTTTGTATCTTTAGCTTTGAGAAAGCTAAAGAAAGCTTTCCTTGGTGGAAAGACCAAGGAAGGGAAAAGGAGAATGAAAGACATCTTAAAAGCAATTATTGGGAGCTGGAGAGATGGCTGAGCAGTTACGAGCACTTGCTACCCTTGCAGAGGACTGGAGTTCGGTTCCAAGTACCGGCATGGTGTCTTATAACATTAGTAAGTCCAGTCCCAGGGATCTCTTCTGGCTTCGTTGGGCACTGGATATGCATGGGTTAAACATATATACATGTAAAATAAAACCAACTGTATACATAAAAATAAACAAATAAATAAAACAAATCGCCTGAGCCTGATATAGCGGTACATGCCTGCAATACCAGAATTTAGGAGACTGAGCCAGGAGGATCATGAGTCTGAGACCAGCCTGGGCTACATACTAAATTTCAGGCTTGTCTAAAAATGAACAAAAGCCAAATGACAACAATAAAGCAAGACACATCAATTTATCAGAAAGTATCTGGAGTGCATGCAACATACAGAGGATTAATATTCTAATGTGCAGAGAGCTCTTACACATCAGCAACACACTCAAGAAGCTGGGAGAGGAGGACTCTGGGACAGAGGAGTTTGGGGCCATCCTAAGCTAAGTAACAAGAACTCATCCCACTTACTAACCAAGGAAACCAGAAGCTCCCAAGACTGAATAGCACCTCCCGAGGCCTCCTTCAGAGAGAATAATGAGTGACTGACCCAGAAGCCTGGATCTGTGTTCCCTCAGATCTCACAGTGTGAGGACCAACTGATTAGTCTGGTTAAGTTCCTTTGGAAAAGATCTTTCTGTGTATGCCCAGAACCTTCCTGCCACCCAGAAGGTTATTTAACGAATGCCTAATGAAGATGACAGTAGGCTGCAGCTTGCCCATGCCAGGCTATCGTTACTGCTTTCTAGGGGAAGTTGGTACTTGGAGTTCAGTAATTAGCATCCATTATCAAGATGAAAAGACGCTGGGACAAAAAAGGGAAGGTAGCCAAGCTTCCTTCATTGATGAAAATCTCCTTAGGAACATGAAACTTTATTTGCATTCTGAGCCAACTCTGCAAACTTTTTATCAGGATTTTTCCCCCCTACTAGATAACCTGGCATGAATGTGTGTTCTGTGGTTCTAACCACATGGCCAGGCCGAGTGCCCACCGTCAGCTTCTCCACCTGGTTTGATTGCTCAGAGCCCGGTGACTTCGTCTCTCTCTAGTAGGCACCAGATAGAGGCTCCGAAGCTTCCCAAGTTCCCAGGTTCCTCATCAACTTACTCCTTACAGGCCCCTTGCGACCTTTGCCATTGGTCGTCTCTTCATCAAACTTTGGATTGTTGAGCAAATTGTGGACTCCAAGGACAGCTGAAAACACAGGCAACAACAACAAGCATTAAGTTTTGCAACACATGTTAGGACGGCCACGCTCTCAATTTGTACCTAGCAGAACAATTCTTTATATGGCACAGAGTCTCCAGGTCCCCTGTCCTCACACAGTGTGTGGTGTGCGCACATCAGTCAATAAACTGGAATCCTTCAGACACTGTCAGTAGCTCTGTGTGCTTAAATGCACAGGGTCATTGTGGAGTTGAGAAACAACTGTGTAGTCATACCGTCTAGTCACCGAAACACCGCTAGGTCCCTGTGCTGATTAGTCTTAACAGTACAGTTGACACAACCTAGAGTCACCTGGAAAGAGAATCTTTTTTTAAATTATTTTTTAATTGATTACAATTTATTCACTTTGTATCCTAGCTGTAGCCCCCTTCCTCATCCACTCCCAACCTCATCCACCCTCTCTCTTCTCCTCCCATGTACCTGCCCTAGTCCACTGAGAGGGGAGATCTTCTTCCCCTTCCATCTGATCCTAGCCTATCAGGTCTCATCAGGACTGGCTGCACTGTCTTCCTCTGTGGCCTGGTAAGGCTGTTCCTCCCTCAGGAGGTGATCAAAGAGCCAGCCACTGAGTTCATGTCAGAGACAACCCCTGTTCCCCTTACTAGGGAACCCACTTGGAGACTGAGCTGCCATGGGCTACATCTGAACAGGGGTTCTAGGTTATCTCCATAAATGGTCCTTGGTTGGAGTGTCAGTCTCAGAAAAGACCCCTGGGCCCATATTTTTTTTAAATCCAATTAAAAAATGGGGTACAGAGCTAAACAGAACACTCAATAGAGGAATATCAAATGGCACAGAAACACTTAAACAAATGTTCAACGTCATTAGCCATCAGGGCAATGCAAATCAAAACGACCCTGAGATTTTACCTTACACCCATCAGAATGGCTAAGATCAAAAACGCAAGTGACACCACATGCTGGAGAGGATGTGGAGAAAGGGGAACCATCCTCCATTGCTGGTGGGAATGTAAACTGGTACAACTACTTTGGAAATCAATCTGCTGCTTTTCCAGAAAGTTAGGAATAGTGCTTCCTCAAGATCCAGCTAAACCACTCCTAGGCATATATCCAAAATATGTTCAAGTATACAAGAAGGACATTTGCTCAACCATGTTTGTAGCAGCTCTACTTGTAATAGCCAGAAGCTGGAAATAACATAAATTTCCCTCAAAGGAGGAATGGATACAGAAATTGTAGTATATTTACACAATGGAATACTACTCAGATATTAAAAATAAGGAAATCATGAAGTTTGCAGGCAAATGGTAGGAACTAGAAAAGGTCATCTTGAGTGAGGTAACCCAGAAGCAGAAAGACACACATGGTACATACTCACTCATAAGTGGATATTAGACATATAATATAGGATAAACATACTAAAATCTATAGTCATAAAGAAGCTAATTAAGGAGGATCCTGAGGAAGATGATCAAGCCTCATTCAGAAGGACAAACATAATAGACATCGGAAGCAGGAGAAGACAGGGGACAGGACAGAAGCTTACCACAGAGGGACTCTGAAAGACTCTACTGGTCAAGGTATTGAAGTAGAGGCTGAGACTCATAGCCAAACTTTGGGCAGAGTGCAGGGAATCTTATGAAAGAAGGGGACGGGGAATAGAAAGACCTGGAGGGGATAGGAGCTCCACAAGGAAAGCAACAGAACCAAGAAATCTGGGCCCAGGGGTCTTTTCTGAGATTGATACTCCAACTAAGGACCAAGCATGGAAAGAACCTAGAACCCCTGCACAGATGTGGCCCATGGCAAATGGGAACAGGACTGTCTCTGACATGAACTCAGCAGCTGGCTCTTTGATCACCTGCCCCTGAAGGGGGAGCAGCCTTATCCAGGCCACAGAGGAGGACAATACAGCCAGTCCTGATGAGACCTGATAGACTAGGGTCAAATGGAAGGGGAGAAGGACCTCCCCTATCAGTGGATTTGGGGAGGAGCATGGGAGGAGATGAGGGAGGAAGGTTGGGATTGGGAGGAGATGAGGGAGGGGGCTACAGCTGGCATACAAAGTGAATGAAATGTAATTAATAAAAAAATAAATAAAATTTAAAAAAATGGAGCCCTGGGGACCCTGAAGAGACTAATACCCCAACCAAGGACAATGCATAGAGAGGACCGAAAACCCCAGTTCACATATAGCTCATAGGCTCAGTTTCCAAGTGGGGTCCCTAGTAAGGGGAGCAAGAACTTGCTCTGGCATGAACTCAGTGGCAGGCTCTCTGATCACCTCCCCCTGGGGGTGCATCCTTGCCAGGCCACAGAAGAAGACAAAGCAATCAATCTTGATGAAACCTGATAGGCTAGGGTCAAATAGAAGGGGAGGAGGACCGTCTCTATCAGTGGACTAGGGGAGGAGCATGGAGGAGAAGAGGGAAGGAGGGTGAGATTGGGAGGAGACAAGGGAGGGGGCCACAGCCAGGATACAAATTGAATAAATTGTAATAAATGATAATATTAAAAAAGAAAAAAAAAAAGACCCAGCTATACTACTCCTAGGCATATATCCAAACTATGCTCAAGAATACAACAAGGACATCTGCTCAACCATGTTTGAAGCAGCTTTACTCATAATAGCCAGAATCTGGAAACAACCCAGATGTCCCTCAACTGAGGGATGGATACAGAGACGGTCCATTTCACAATGGAATACTACTCAGCTACTAAAAAGGAAATCATGAAATTTGGTGGCAAACGGTGGGAACTAGAAAAGATCATCCTGAGTGAGGTATTCCGGAAGCAGAAAGACACACATGGTATATACTCACTTACAAGTGGATGTTAGACATATAATACAGGATAAACATACTAAAATCTGTACACCTAAAGAAGCTAAGCAAGGAGGAGGACCCTGGGTAAGATGCTCAATCCTCACTCAGAAGGGCAAACGGGAGAATCTTAATGAGGAGCTGTCATGGCGTGAGGTCATGTCTTTGCGGAGGATGTCTTGGTTAGTATTGATGCAGAGAGATCCAGCCCACTGTGAGCACAGAGTCCTGGGCTGGGCCCTGAACTGTGCAAGAGTGAAGAGAGCCAGATGCACAGAAGTAGCCGTGTCTTTGTGCTTATTTCTCTCTGCTTTTGGCTGTGGATGTGATGTGTCAGGGGGCTTAAGTTCATGTTCTGACTCCCGACTTGTTGATGGACTGAAACCTGGCAATGTAAGCCGAATAGACCCTTTTCACCCCTGAACTGCTTTTGATCAGGGTGTTTTGTCATAGCAAAAGAAATGAAACTAGAGTGTTGCCCTAGTGAAGCAGACTCAACATTCAGCTGCTTTTTGTTTGTTTGTTTGTTTTTGTTTCTCGTTGTTATTTTGTATTCAGGGTCTTGCCTTATTGCCCTGATGGTCTGGAACTCACTCATAGTCTAAGCTGACCTCACACTCAGTGTGATCCTCCTGCCTCTGCTTCCAAATGCTGTGACTTATACTTAGGTGCCATCCTACCCACCTCCATTTAGTCTGCATACCTGTAAAATAAAAAAGGGTGGGATTCAACCTAAAGATTTTGTTTTGTTTAAAGTCTCACTACCGTAACCCTGTTTAGCTCGGATCTCATCACGCAGCCCAGGCTGGCCTTAGATCTGCAGTAATCCTCCTGCTGCTGCCTCCTGAGTGTTGAGGTCAACACTGAACCAATAAGCCTGATGGAGTCTAAGGATTTTAAAGATCTGATGTGACATGGATTATTATGTTGTTGGTCCCCTCCCCCCCCCCCCCCCCCCCCGGGCAAAACCAGGAAGACTGTGGTTCTCTTTCGTTAGGAAAAGGAGCTGTCCTTTCTTTCCACGTGGGAAAGAAGAGAAGGACTGTCAGGGACTCAAGGTCAGCTGAGCATATGAAGGTGTCAGTGCCCAGTGTTACACAGAACTGGCACCAGGAGGCAGGCATGCAGGGTGGTGCTGGGCAGGTTGAAACAGATTTCCATTCTGATGAAATCACAGGTGAGAGGCACAGGGCCCCCCAAGATTCTTATTTGATCTACTATGAGCTACATTTTAGAAGGGAGGCAGCCAGCATAATACAAAGAAGGGAAGCTAGCAGGCCTCACCAGAAGTGAGGCCGGGCAGTGGTGGCACACACCTTAAATCCCAGCACTCAGGAGGCAGAGGCAGGTGGATCTCTGAGTTTGAGGCCAGCCTGAGGTCTACAGAGTGAGCTTCAGGACAGCCGGGGCTACAGTAAACCTGTCTCAAAAGAAAAAAAAAAAAAAAAGAAATGAAACAGGAGTTAGAGGTAGGTGTGTGACTTGCACTTGAGGAGCAGAAGGATTCCAGGAGAATCCTTCTACACAGGAGCTATACAGTATAGGAGTTCAAGGCCAGCCTGAACAGCCTACATATACTACCACAGTGAGATCCTGTGTTTGAACAAACAAGGGCTGGGGCTACAGCTCAGTGGTAGAACACTCTACTAGCATGCCCAAGGTTCAGTCCCTTGCACTGAAAACAGAGTAACAATAGTGGAGCACACAGAGTTTGAACCCTGGCTGCCACACCCTAACTGTGATCTGGGAAGCCTCTGTCTGCCCAGGAAGTCTGCCTCCTCACTCACCCCAGCTGATTGCTCACTTGACTAATGGCTAGGTTAGTAAGGCACGCTCGGGGCTTTCTGTGAGCGTGTCCCCTCAGAGCATTCACAGAGTGGGGAAGCCTTGCTCTGAACGTGCCTGGTGCCACCTCACAAGGGGAAGAAGGGAGGAAAAGGAAAAGAGTCATCACCACACTTTTGAGCCACTGGCCTTTCTACGCACTACCATCCTCACTAGCACAGGCAATGCTCCTCAGTTCTCCCTCAGGTGTCCTCAGTTGCTGGGAGCTCTTTCACTCACATTAGTCTCAGCTTTCTAGAAAGATCCACCCTAGAGAAGACGCTGCTTGATTTTCATCCCCAGAGAAGGCTTCCCACTGAGTTCTTAGGGAAAGTCTGCTCAGCTGAGTAGGGTGAACGGAGGCAGTTTCTATCTGCATTATCTCCTCGGATTTATTACATGATACCAGGGTCAAGTATTTTCAGTGATTACTTTTTTTTTCCTTTCTCCTTTCTCAGGTGTTTCCTGGGAATCAAGTCCCCCCCTGAAGTCTTTCTTTAGGCAACTCCAATAAAGCTGTAAGGCAGCCCTTGGGAAGAGCAGTAACCATGGAGGGAATCTCTTCACAGTAACCACAGGGCCAAGACAGCCAGTCACGGCAAATACCTACCTCACCAGGTGACGCTACGGAGACCTCTGACAGACACTCAGACACGTGAAACTGATGTCACCTGCTGACATCGTCAGGGATGGAAATGTGTGCAGATGGCAGCTGTATTGGAATACGGCTGGGCAGGCTTTCCCACACGGAAGAGATTTCTATGTACAGGCAGAGGCAGGCAGAGCTCAGGCAGAGCCCAGGCAGAGCCCAGGCAGGCAGAGCTCAGGGAGGGTTCAACTTACAGTGTTACCCACCCACCCATATCACTTTTTTTTTTCCTAAAAGAAAGGTCTTAATTTGGGGGAAAGACTTACTTTTCATTTCTTTTGTATTATTTGAGCTTTTTATATCTACATGGTAGTTTCAATGCTAATGGCCACCGTGGACTCATACTGTTTGGATACTTGGTTCTGAGCCAGTGGACCTGTTTGGGAAAGACTAGGAGGTACGGCTTTGTTGGAGGTTTGTCTCTGGGGTGGGCTTTGACGTTTCAAACGACTCATTCCCAGTGTGCTCTCTCTCTGCCTCCTGCTTTTGGATCAAGACATGTGTATTCAGCTGTTCCTGTTGCCATGTCTTTGCTTTACTACCATAGACTGTAAACTTTTGAAACCATAAGTTCAATTAAACACTTTCTTTTAAAAGTCGCCTTGGTCACAGTGTTTGGTTAGGGCAACAGAAAAGTACCCAATATGATATACATGTAAAATCAATTGAAATAACAATCCTGCTATCGTCATCATGTTTCAGTTTGTTAAGGAAATAAGGTTAGCTGACCTCTTGGCACAAATCGGCTTACACTCACAATTGTGAGGGAGACCAAGAGCTCTATAGAAATGTGACCATGAAGCCAGGAGGTGTTGGCACACGCCTTTAAGCCCAGCACTCGGGAGGCAGAGGCAGGTAGACCTCTGAGTTTGAGGGCAGCCTGGAGAGAAGCTACAGAGCAAGTTCCAGGACATCCAGGGCTACAAAGGGAAACTGTGTTTCAAAAAACAAAACCAACCAAACCAAAAGAATAAAATCATGTCCATGAAATGTATGAAGTCCATAAGTGTGTTTTAATGTAGAGGCTCCTGGAAAGCATATGGGGATATTACTTTATTCATTTTTTAATTTCTAATTTTGTTTTCTTTTTTGAGACAGGGTTTCAATTCTATAGCCCAGGCCGGGCTTAAACTCACAATAATCCTCCTGCCCCAGCAGCCTTTAGAGTACTAATGCTACTATTTCAGACATAGGTCACGACACCTACTTGCAGTTTCACTTCTCTTAAGCTCTTCACAATACTATTTCAGATCTGTTCTCTTCAGTTTCTCATAGGAGTCTTGTAGGATGGGCATTATCTAAACAGCAGAATGGGTTACAGCATGGCTTGCTCAGCCACAGGATCCAGTGTTAGAGGAAGATAGGCCTGATGCCACTGTGGCCCCACAGTACTCAGCAGCTACCAGAAGCTCACAGGTTTGCCCTGGCGGAGTGAGTGCATGCGTGGGGGTCATGCACCAGGCCTGAGAACTAACCTGCAAGGTCGTAGAGTTCAGTGTCAGAGGCGCTGGCCAAGGCTTCTTCCAGTTCTGGGTCCAGGGTCACTTTCTCTTCTTTACGAGTTTCTATAGGCTTCTCCTTGGGGATAAACACTCTCCCTTTAAATCAAAAGAAAACTGAAGATGACTGAGCTGCCACCTTATGGGGAGGCCTGGCAGCCTGAACAGAAGAGGCCACGTTGGCATTAAAGATACGCGTCACTGAGCTGTTTCGTAGCATTTGAGGTTCCTGACCCGCTGGGCTGGGGCTAATCTATTCTGAGAAGGAAGGACTCTTGCCTCTCACCATGCAGGACTCCCCTGAGCTCACTTCAGCAGTTAAGCTTCTTCTAACAGTGATTGTTAATATCGTTAGCTTGACAGGATCTAGAAAAGAGAAGTCTCCGGGAGAAGTGTTTATGAGGGAGTTTCTAGATCAGGTTAACTGGGAAAACCCACCCTAAATGAGGGTGGCTCCAATCCGTGGGCTGGCGTCCTGGATTGAATGGAAAGGAGAAGGCGAGCTGAGGACCAGCATCCATCTGCTTCCTGCCTGGGGATGCAAAGTAAGCCTCTGCTTTAGGCTTCTGCTGCCAAGATGGACTGTGACTCCAAATAGACCCATCCTTCCCTACGTTGCTTTTGTCACAGCAACAAGAGAGTAACTGCCCCACCAGCCATCTCCTAAGCTACAGGATGTGGCTGTGTGCACCCTTTATACCCAGAGAACCCCTGCCTTCCTTTCCAACTCCATTGCCACAAGCCTCCTGAAGACTAACCTGGATCCACGGGGTAATTTGCCACAGCCACTCCTGTGCTCAGAGAGGAAATGGCAAAAGCTTTCTCTCTTTTTATTCTGTCATTATGTGATACATAGCATTTGGGTAATTTTATTGAAGATTTTTTTTTTTAACATTATACCTTATACTTGTCAAAATTTGGATAAGTCCAACAGCAACTGTGCTACCTTAGAAACAGCTCATACTCCCCAGTAACCCATGGCTGTTTACCTACCTCATCACCGATCTGCTCGACTTTCATAATTTCCCTCCCAGTGGCTTGTGGCCTGTCAGATGTGCACAGTACAGAGGTAGCGACAGGGTCCGCTCATGCCGAGGGCTGCGTTTCCCTTGCCACTGAGGACAGGCTCAAAGGCAAGCTCACTGGAGCTCAGAGGAGGGAGAGCCTCCTCCACGTCACCCAGGTCCACCGAGGGGACACGGAGACCACACAACCAAAAAATAAGCAACGTGCTGAGCGTGACCTCGGGGGCTATCACAGCAGTGCCCAAGTGGGGGCATCTGCAATGACCAATGAACCTGGAGAGGAGCCATCGTCCTCATCCATGAGCTGTAATTTACCTCAGGGTTCACTTTGGCCGTTGGACCTGTGTCTACGAGCCATAATGTTCTAAAACACTATGCGTAGCCCCTGGGCTTCTTTCCCGCTCCAAGGCCAGCTCCTCTGCCTGGCGCTCCACAATACATGAAGGGCAGTGTGTCCCAAGACATTCAGTCTGTGGGCCCTACCTTTCTTCTCTCCTGTGAAGGGCACGAAGTCCTCTCTGTCTTTCTGTTCCAAAGCCTCCTTCTCCAGGTACATGAGGAGGTGCTCGCGGTCAAATGGGCCGGTGGCTGATTTCTGGGTCTGGTCTTTCTGTCGGAACCCAGCTGGTAGCATTGCGCTCTGATGAGACAGAGACGAGATGAGGGGGGACGTTTGCTAGACTGCATTTCTTTCTTTACTCTTTCACAGTTGCTGTAAGTGGGAAGTCAGTGGGGGCGCCTTTACTGGCTGAGGCCTGGGGTCTCGAGGATGGCTGTGGGGATGTGCTTGTTCTGACCTCCTCTCCTAAGACAGCGAACCCAAGCAGCTCAGGGGGCACAGAGACAGAAGCGTCATCCCCTGGACCCTCTGCAGCTGCCGTCTAGAATTCGAGAGGAAGGGTCTTTCTGTGTCCACTATCATTAGGTTTGGTCAGGTGTGAACACAAGGGCTCCTAAGGCAGGATGGCTCTACACTTGATTATTTCTAACCTGTTTCCTCTAGAAACAACCGCGGGGTAAGGAAATATGCTATATGTCGATATCTGCCCAAGTAAGACCCACTTATTTGTCTTTTTTGAGACACAGTCGCATGTAGCCCTGGCTGGCCTCAAACTCACTATGTAACTGAGGGTTAGCCCTGATTCCTGATCCTCCATTTCCTGAGGGCTTGGATTCAAAACATGTATCAACATGGCTAACTCTTGTTTTAGATTTTTTGCTTTTTTTCTAGACAAAGTTTTGCCACATAGCACTGGCTTTTCTGGAACTCGCTATATAGACTAGGCTTGCCTCAAACTCCCAGAGAACTGCCTGCCTCTACCTCACAAGTATTGGGATTAAAGCCCCTACATCTGGCTTTATTTTAGATTTTTAAATCAAGGTCTCTCTCTCTCTCTTTTTTTTTTTTTTAAGATTTTATTTATTATTTATTTTATGTCTGAGTGTTCTGCATGTACACATGCACACCAGAAGAGGGCATCAGATCCCTGTATAGATGGCTGTGAGCCACCATGTGGTTGCTGGGAATTGAACTCAGGACCTCTGGAAGAGCAGACAGTGCTCTTAACCACTGAACCATCTCTCCAGCCTCAAGGTCTTCCCTTGTAGCCCATGCTGCCCTAGAACTCACCACATTGCTCAGGCTTGACCCAAACTCACAATCTGCCTCTGCCCCCCAAGGGGTTGGGGTGACAGGCACGTGGCATTATGTCTGCCTGCTCTGGTTAAGCCCCAAGATTCCTTCCTTATGTGAATAAATCATTGTACTTAAATTAAAAAAAAATAACAAATATCCAGAGTATCTGGTACAGCAGAATGCCATATAAATAGGCTTATTTACTTACATCTTTAGATCTTAATCGCTACTTGGGATGACTCCAACTTTGAGATGATGTCATCAGGGCTGAAGAAAACACTTGCTAAAGAAACACCCTAAAGAGCTACCCGGCTTTTCAGGAGCCGACAAAAACATTAGGAATTGATATGGTGACCATCATCTACACGTTGCCATCAAACATCATGTTCTTTGTATATTTGAACAAAATAATACCAGTTGTGGTAGCATGTGCTATCCCAGTACTTTGCAGGTGGAGGCTGAATGATCAGAGATTCAAGCTTCTCCTTGCAGACATAATGAGCTTGAAGCCAGTCTTTGCTCTATGAGACATGAGAGTTATCTCAAAAACTAAACCAAATAAACAGACACAAAACCCAACAACAACAACAACAACACACACACACACACACATACACACACACACAAAGAACCAAGAAGAGAAAAATATGATCTAAAGCCAGTCAACACACAGGAGGCCAGCCTGGGCTACATACTAAGTTCCAGGCCAGCCTTAGCTACATAGTGAGACTCTATCTTAAAATAAAAATTCTAGGCTGGTTATAGTGTTGTATACATTTAATACCAGCACTTGGGAGGTGGAGGTGAGTGGATCTCTATGAATTTGAATTTGAGACTAGCCTGGGCTACACAGTGAGTTTCAGGCCAGACAAGGCTACATGGTGAGTCCTCTCTTAAAAAAAAAAAATGTCTGTGTAGTAGCTCATGCCTGTTATTCCAACACTTGGAAGGCGGGGAGGTAAAGACAGGAGGAATTCAAGGTCATTCTCAGCTATATAGTGATTTTGTAGCCTACCTGGGCTACAAGACCCTGTCTCAACAAACAAACAAGCAAACAAGTCTGAGGGTGTGGCTTAGTTGAGAGAATGCTTGCCTCCCACACAGAAATCCCTAACATGCTGAAAGGCTTGTAATTTGTAATTTGGGAGCTGGATGCAGGAAGATCAGAAGTGCAGGTCATCCTCAGCTACATACAGCCAGCCTGGAGTATGTGAGACCCTGTCTCAAAAAATAAAACAACCATAAAAGAACAAAACCAAAAGACACGCTGCTCTACAGAGGTGTTTCGACAGCACCGCAGACATTTAGGCCAGTGTGGGATCCTGTGTGGGCCACTCCTGTAAGTGTGCCTTCTATTTATGAAATGGCATTTACAGCCATTTCCCCCAGGGACTCTGAGCCTGGCAAAGAAACTGACACTTAGGAAATACTTTGGTAAGATTCATTCTCATCGCTCTCCCACAGCCTATGCTAAATCAGACTGCCCTTTCCCAATGGAAAACACTTTCCCTCACCTAGGGGCAAACTGGTTTTTTGAGAAACACACTTGACATTTCTCACTGCGGTGGCCCTGGGGCTCAGCATGAACTTGCAAAAGTGGCTCCGCAGCAATGGGGAAGAACCCAGACTTCTGCATGGGGTGGGGGGGCAGTGGGGACTTCAGCTACGGCTGAAGGAGAGAACCGCCCTCTTGCTCTCATTAAGCACCCCACTCCGGTCCCACGCCACAAACCTCGGGATCTAGGTCATCTAGAACGTTTTCCAACTGTTTCAGCTCCTCCTCTGACAGTTTGCCAAGTAGCTCATCCTCGTCGACGTTCTTATATTTCTCCAGCTCCTTCTGGAAGGGGAGTGCCATGGCTTCAGAGATAGACCTTTCTCACGCACCTTGAAGTGGGCCAGCTTCCTGAGGCTTCACACTACCACCAACCAAGAAAAACACTGTCATCTCCCTTACCGTAAACTGTAAAGTTGGCAGCGGACTGTGCCAACCCGGCAATGGATTCTACACAGACACAGACAATTCTCCTGAAAAGCAGTATGACCTTCCTTTCCAGAGCGGACAACAGCTTGCAGTATTTTCACACACAGCACATTATTTCAACCATTCCCCCCCCCCCCCCCCCCAGGGCATCCCTGGAAGGAAAGCTGCAAGACACCATGCCGGGATTTTACAGACTATGACTGAGATGGAGGTGACCAAGACCTAGCTATGGGAGGCGTGCCTGGCATCCGGTTCCCGGGGCAGTGAGTGCTGTTCCATTCTACTACAAGGCCTCTCCTTGCTTTCCATTGAGAAGCCGCGAAGAACAATGAACAATTGTGCGGCAGTTGTAAGCAGCATACTTGAGCCTTTTCAGGGCGGAGAGTGCAGTGAAGAACACAGAATGGGATTCATTCAGGAAAGAGTTTAGAGGCTCCAGGTGGAAAACACGTTGTCCCTTAAGTCCACGCAATGAAACCAAGAGACATTCTAAAGCCCTGGCCACACTGTTACTCTACTCCTCTTTTTATTTCTCTCCTTAACTTCTATTTTGAATGACGTCTTTGAGAGCATTTTAATAGTATTTTTTTTTTTATTGCTGGAAAGTTCCGACCTTTAAATAATGTCTTTCCATCACATCCATTCCCTACTACCTCCCTCCAGCTCCCTCTAGAGCCCATAAGCCCACCTCCCTCCCAGCTCCATGTCCCCTTTTTATTTTGGTTGTTATTGCTTCTGTAGCCATTCTTCTTAATTTTTCTTCCTTGATGCTCCCAGAACATTCTCTTTCAGTGCCCCACCCCTCTGAAATGCCTCGTTCTTAAACTTTCATGACGAATGCAAGTTTTACTCTGTCCCTTGAAGAAAATTCTATGAATCTTCCCTAGCGAGGCAATTCTGCATCTGGGCTTCGGCCAGTTCCTCCAAAGCAGTTAAGCGTTTGTTATATACCTGCTATTGCCAAGCGGGGTTCTAGAAAAGCTCCCTCCAGGAAGATCACAGCTTAGCAAGACATACACACAGACGGCAATAATGCCATGTGAGAAGTGTTACTATACTGTCTGAAAATTGCTGGGGAAGAAAAGGGGAGAGTCAGCCTAAAAAGAGACTGTCATTGATCCTTGAAGGAAGAGGTCCTAAGGAGGACAAGGATAGAGAGGAGCCATAAAGCAGAGGCACAGGATAGGAACGTATTGTGGTGGAATTGGTTGGGGTAGCTAGGAGGAGGATTTGTGGACTGGGAGAAACGGGACGCCCATGAAGGGGCTTCTTTTTGCACTATGCCTTAGGGACCTGGATCTTAGGTCCCGATCCTACATCCATAGCCCCTGAGTTAAAGGACCTGTCACTGGGAAAGTATTTGATATTATCTAGGTGGGCAAAATTTACTTCGAAGTACTCCTGTGACAGAAGAGGAAGCCAAGTGGTGACGGCAGGAACGGTCAGAAGATCATCATGTGGGGCTTCAAAGATGCAGGAAGAGCCACGAGAAGAGCCATGTGGGGACTCTGGATATTGGAAAAGGTTAGGGCCTTTCCCTGGCAACCTTTAGAGAGCGGTAAGGTTCCGCTGACACCAGCGAGATCCATTTGCATCGCTAACTTCTGAAAGCAGTGACACATTCGTATTGTTTTAAGCAACTGAGCTTGCTCTTTGTCATAACAGCTGTACAAAAACTAATACACTCTCTCCCAAACGCTCTCACCTCCAGGGTAAGTGCTCTGGAATACTCTGTTTATCCTTGCATTTCTGTTCTCCACTCTGCTCTGCACCTCAAGAGTACTATCGACTTAGACTGCGCCTGTGGGCGCCTGTCTTTTTGCTTTCTGTTTGGCCAACAGGAGGCACCAACAGCAAAGCAGAGGACATAGTGGCGGGGTGTGGGGTGGGTGTGGAGAGAGTGTTTCAGATGATGATGAGATGTTCTCACAGACTACCTCCTCTTTTGCTGGCTTCAGGCCTTGGGGTGGTGAAGGGTCTCTGTTATGACTCTTGCCAGATTTCTGCCTTGTTGTTTCCCTAAAGCTTCCTACACCCTTGTAAACAGCCTCTTTATTGAAGCCTTCTCAAGTTATTCCGTCTGAGCACACCCTCTGTTTCTTGTAAGGGAGCTGGCAGACGTGGTACCATTGCTTGGAATGTCCCTTTCCCTTTGTGCTCTGTTTCTGAGGCCTGGCTGAAATCCTAAGCTCTGCAGGACCACAGGACTCCAGAATGAGGGAGGCCTTTGGCCACTCAGCCCAGCCACACAGCCGGCTCTTGGGTTTCTCTTCATCACTCTTTTCTTGGTCTCTTTTCACAGCTTCTCTTCCTCTGCCTTAAATACTGGTGTTCTTCAAAGTTTCATCTTAGAAATTATTGACTCATCCCTCACCAAGGGATGTTTACTTGCCTTGAAATTTTGATTATAAACTGTATTCTTCTAACTTTAAAATATGTATCCTAGATTTTGTTCACAAGGACCAGATCTGAAATTATCTGACCAAAAATCTCCCCTTGGCTACCTCAGACCCTTAAAATACATCAGAAGAGCTCTCACCTGCCCTTTCTGCCTTTAGAGTTTCAAGAAGTTGTTTCAGAAGCCAGGGTGTCATTCTTTACATTTTCTCTTTCCCTCCTTTCTACCTACTAATCACCAAATCCTATCCTTACGGAACGATGTGATCTCATCTATTTCTGCATCCATGTCCATGTCCACGCCCAGCTTTCTGATCACTCTGCACACAGTGGTCAAAGTCATTTTTTTTCACCAACTTTATTTTAGTCTTTAAAAATCCCCCAGTGGCTTCTCATTGCCCCAGTGATGATGTTCAGATTTATGCCGTGGCCTCTCTGGCTCTATCCCCTCCTGCACTGCATTCCTGATGTCCTCCTGGATCCGGCCTCCTGGACCACTTCCAATTCCTGGCTCATTTCTGTTTCCTGTGCTCCGAGCACTAAGAACCCCTACTCACCAGCTGACTGTCCCACCCCCGGCTGACTCCACCAGACTCATCTTCCAGTCTCTGTGTGAGATTCATTTCTCCCATCAGATCAGACCCTGCATCAAAATCTAGGTCACTTGCTGCCCCCACGGTGCCCCTTTGACTACAGCTTGGCTTCAGCACAATTCCTCGCTAATCTCTGGGAGGGTGGAAACGATATAACTTTTATTCACCAATAAAAGCTTGGCTCCCGGTGCAGATCTTGACCCACAGTAGACATCCTATAAATATTCATGTCAAATGAAGGAAATGAGCTCATGGCAGTGAGGTGGACATGGGTCCAGAGATCTTTCCACTGCAGCCTTTTTTTTTTCTTCCACCCCTCCCTGGAACCTGCTGAGATCACCTATGCCTGCACGATTCGCTCCTCTCTCTAAATTTGCTCTGCCTACGTCACACAATTTAACATCTGTCACTTGTTATCTTTTATGTATGTTATACAGCTCTTTCCGGATACCACAACCTCCCAGAAAACGGGGACCATATTCTGATTCTCGGTGCTGCTGGATTTCTCAAGTTCAGGCTTCCATAGTCATTCAAGAAATGTCTATTGAAAGCCTACCTTTTTCAAACACTGCTGGGACATAGCAGTGGACAAAACAGATGGTCCTGGGTGCTAACTGGGCCTATAATCCACAAGGGAAAGAACATTAGGCAATAAATAACAGTAATAATTTAACCATCAACAATGTCTGTCAAAGTAAGCTTCATAGACTATAGCCAGGTGCCAGGGGGTCTCGGAACTAGTGGAGAAAAAGAAAGCGGTAGCTGTTTAGAGAACAAAACCAATATTGCAATTCAAGGAGAACGTAATTATTGGTGGATCGTTTGGTTTTGTTTGAGGCCAGCTCTCATACTATAGCCCAGGCTAGCCCGGAATTCACGGCTAGCCTCAAACTTACAACAATCCTTCCTCAGCCTCCTAAGTGTTGTAACCACAGGCATATAAAACCAAACCTAGCCTATTATTATTAATAATCATTTTTGGGACAGAGGCAGGAGGACTGATAAAAGTTTGAGGCCAGCCTGGTCTATATAACAAGAGTTCCATCTCAAAACCAAACCAAACTCCTAAAACAAATATAGGTATGCTTTAGAGAAGACGATAGCCTTCCCATAGCTCCTAATGTTGAGTCTCTGATTTCCCAGAGCTTGGCTGGCCTGCTGAACCCCACCCAGGCCCCTCTGGGTTCACATTTGTTTCCCCTCCTGGGAGTGATGAGGCAGTGGAAAGTTTGCAAAGTCCTGCCACAGCCTGGCCTCCAGCAGGGTGTCTGTCCCATGGTAAACATTCAACAGGCAACAAGATACTAGTGCACACACTGGAATGGAGCACGTGCCTCTGAGGCTTCCAGGAGCCCAGGTGGGCAAGCACCGAGCCTATTAGCAAAATGGAAAATGGGAGTGACAGTGAGCCGAAGGAAGCGGCTCTTCCTGTTACCCAGAAACACAAGCCTTGGGAAGGAAAGTTAAGAGCGTGGTTCTCTTTGCTTGTTTTTCCACTATCTTGTTAACTTCGCTGCGAAAGAGAAAAATCAGCTGCGACAAGAAGGGCCCAGCCTTTTACTCCGTCTACACAAAGACCAAAAACCCAAACTTCTATTTGAATCAGTAAGTGATGTTAATCTTCAATTGTTTAATATACCTTACTATTTCACAAGACTTGAAAAGACTCTGAATAGATTTTCACAAGAGTCAAGCCACATTTCCTAAAACTAATAAATTAACAACATCAATTTAGCAAACCCCTTTAAACATCCAAGGGTCCTGCATGTTTAATTCATTTTTATTTTTATTTTTTTTCTGGGTTGGGGTGGGACAGAATCTTACTATGTAGTCTTGGCTGGCCTTTGGAACTCACTATGTAAACCAGGCTAGCCTCAAACTCATAAAGATCCTCTCGCCTCTGCCCCCAGAGTGCTGGGATTCAAGGCAAGGGCTGCCACACACA